CCCACATGCCCTCGCTAGAGTGACGCAGGAGAATCGATGGAAAAACAGATCCACTTCATTAATAAGGAGTCACGTTTGTCTTTATTTTTTATATACAGATGGCTGAAAAAAAAAACATTTATGAGAAAAAAAGCAAGAACTGGATGCTGCTCGGGTGTTGCTCAAATGTGACCCAGTTTTTGTACCATGAGTATTAACGAGCTTTGCCAAACTATTTTCAAAAGTCACACTAGAACAAGCTTCAGAGACAAATGCAAAGAAGCATTGATACAGGTCACATGTTTAGCACATAGCACATATACCTGATAACATGATATCAGCACAGGTGAGTTTGAACGTGTAAAATGATCTTAGGCACGTTGTGTGGAAAAGCGACCTGCTTTCTTCATCCCATCCAGCAAAATTTCAAATCCGCAGCTGTCTGAAGCGGGTCTAGATGAATTCATATGTCATGTGCCATTTGGTCCAATTAAAAAAAAAAGGCAAGACCAATAGCACTGAGTTTTCTTTTTTTCCTGACCACAGGCAGTAAATGTATATTTTTATATGAAATGTCTGACCAACCAGTAAAGCCCTTCCAGGGTGGTGTGGCAGCTTGTGTGCAATCAAACCTACTCAAAGAGTATGAAAGTGGCTAAATATATGGACATTAACCGCTGACACAACATCTCAGACATTAACCCTGTGGAGATTTGAGTTTTAAAAGTTACGAGTGAACAGCAGCAATGGCAGGCTATAATATACTCTATGATAGCCGGCTCTGGCTAGCTGGCAGAGCAAGCCTACATGATTGCATCAATTTTCAACTCATCTTTTTACTCCTGATGCATTCATATAGTACTACTGCATGTCATCAACTTTTGTGTACTCTTTCAAATGCTTTGTTTGGTCGGGGTCTCTCTACATTCTCCTACTCTCTCCGAAACAGATGACTGTCCCTCCCTAAGACCTGTGCCAGAGGTCTCTTCCTTTTAACAGGGTCTTCCTTTCTGCCACTGCCAAGTGCTTGCTCATAGATGATCATTGAGGTTATCTCTCTAATATTCAAGGGCATCACCTGTTTGACTGTCACTGCGGTGGTTTAACCTGAGCTAAATTTGTCTTAGATTCATCAGGCAAACGTTGTGCTGACAAACACAATTCCTAGACAAAAGGGAGTATGTTTTTATTTTGTCCACAGCTACACTGTTTGGTCACAATTTAAAAATGCCACAAAGCCAGTTTTTCTAAACAAGTGCTGGAAATAGTAGGATGACGAGTTTGGTACCAAAAAACCAATCAACCTGCAAGTGATTCAGCGGTATATGCATTACACTGAGAGGTGGCAGAGTTGAAGATTTTCATTGGGGCAAGATTAGAAATGAGTACATCAGAGGGAGAGCTCAGGTTAAGCGGATTGGAGACAAAGTTAGAGAAGCGAGATTGAGAGGGTTTGGACATGTGCAGAGGGGAGAGAGTGGATAAGCTGGACAAAGGACATTGAATATGGGGCTAAAGAAGATGACCACAGAGAAGATTAATAGATGTAGGGAAGCAGGACATGCAGAGGGTTGATGTGACAGACACGGAGGAGGGTAGGGACAGGGTGAGATAAAAGCAGATGAGCTACTCTGATTGCCCCTAAAGGAAGCAGCAGAAAAAAAGTATAACTGTCTGTTCTGGGAGATGCTTAAAACAGCAAAATTAAAAAGCACCATTTAGACTTGTAATTCAGTTCATTAAGCAGAGTCAGTTTCACAGCAATGTTTTCCAATCTCCAACTTCCAGCCATTTAATTAAACTACTTAACACCTGGCACTGAACAGGAACAAATTAGCTGAAATTATAATATTTTTATATGCACATTTGTCTAAATATTAGACTTTTTCTGAACTATGTTACTCTGTTGGTATTTCTAACAGACTGTTTATCTGTAAACATTGTGGGATGAAAAGCCATGAAAGCACACTGCTTGACTTTGTAGTGTCACATAAAGACAGATATTTATTTGTTAATAAATG